CTTCAGGAAATATTTTTGCTGCTGCTGATCAGCCATGTTACATACTCCTGATCCCTGCACTCTGTATGCCTGACCCCTGCACTCTGTATGCCATGTAGTATGTTACATACTCCTGACCCCTGCACTCTGTATGCCTGACCCCTGCACTCTGTATGCCTGACCCCGAGGTGTTTAGTGTCTCAGTAGTTGCTGGTTGCCAATACCTCCGAATTATATTCATGGAGTTCTCCTTTAAGGTGATCACGGACAGTGTTAGCTTTCTGTCTGTATTCCGTGTGGAGACAATCACATGTGATGGAAGAGATTCACTTCATACAAATCATCCTTCATCCTGAGGTTTATGCGTGTCTGTGATTGACCCCCAGTGACCTCCAATGTACCCCTCTGGCCCCCAGTGACCTCCAATGTACCCCTCTGGCCCCCAGTGACCTCCAATGTACCCCTCTGGCCCCCAGTGACCTCCAATGTACCCCTCTGACCCCCAGTGACCTCCAATGTACCCCTCTGACCCCCAGTGACCTCCAATGTACCCCACTGGCTCCCAGTGACCTCCAACGTACCCACTTCAGCCGCCAAGGACCACCAATGTACCCCTCTGGCCCCCAGTGACCTCCAACGTACCCCCTTCAGCCCCCAATGACCACCAATGTACCCCTCTGGCCCCCAGTGACCTCCAACGTACCCCCTTCAGCCCCTACTAACCACCAATGTACCCCTCAACCTCCAGTGACCTCCAACATACCCCCTTCAGCTGCCAATGACCACCAATGTACCCCTCTGGCCCCCAGTGGCCTCCAACATACCCCCTTCAGCCCCAATGACCACCAATGTATCCCTCTGTCCCCATGTGACCTCCAACGTACCCCCTTCAGCCCCTACTAACCACCAATGTACCCCTGTGCCTCCAGTGGCCTCCAACATACCCCCTTCAGCCCCAATGACCACCAATGTACCCCTCTGGCCCCCAGTAGCCTCCAACATACCCCCTTCAGCCCCAATGACCACCAATGTATCCCTCTGGCCCCCAGTGACACCATAGAAATGACCCCACAGAGGTGACAACACAGAGGTGACACTGTAGAAGTGACGGCCCCCACCCATCTCTGTGGCCCCGAGAAGAGTCACAGCCGGGAACAGAGAGTCTCGTCTTCTGCAGAAGCGCTCGGTGAGAAGAAGCGCCACACTTTGTATTCGATGAAACCACATAAAACAACAGAAGTAAATCCGCAAAACTCTGAGAGGTGAGAAACAGAAACTTCC